TATCAGGAATTTGTCAAAGCAAGTCTGATGCAGCGGGGATATTCTTCAGTTCTGGACTAAGATGCACGGGCAGGAAGCGGTGCAGGGGGCAGCTTCAGGGCAGGACTGTCAGCTCCTAATCTGCCTGTGGTCCCTCAGGACCAGCAGCCACTCACAGGGCAAAGCTGAGCAGGAGAGACAAACGGAGACGGTCCGCGATGACGCTACAAGGAGCGGTCACTTCGCAGTTCTTTATTCTGCATCAAAAAAGGGGGAAAAAAAGAAAACAAGAAAACAATCTGTCTGTATCCCTTTCTATGTCCCTTTCTGTGTCCTTTTTTATATCCCTTTCTCACTCGTTTTTTTTTTATTTATGCCCCCCAGCAACAGCTGCACGTGAAGCCCGATGCTGAGGGACCCATCCCTGAGCCCAGGGGGGTTTGCTGCAGTCTTCCTTCTACTTTTGTTTCTAAACCCACACTCATCCCACTCCATTGTAAACAGATGATTATTATTTCATTAGTGTTCCAATTCAGAATTAATTGGCTAATTTACACATGGATCAATTGTATAAATGGGATGTTGGTGATAGGTGCTTGATATGATTTAAAGTAATTGTTTATTTTCCAGGTTTGGCTTGCATTGCACTGCAAAGTGATTTATCTCCTTATTTATCCTGTCTCAGTACCGCCTCTTCTTTTTCATTATTCTTCTAAAGAGATGCACTCCTGCTAAGCTGAAGCATGAAGCCGCGCTGTGATTTCTGTAAGCTTTGCATCTGCTTTTCCTCTGGCAGGAGCTTTCTGACAGCAGCAGGACTGTCTGCACAGCCAGTCCCGTGCTCTCCTCCAGTGCTCTGCAGCGTTTTGCCCCACGACTGCAAAGAAACAACCATCCATCAAAGCAGTATTTAATTTCGTGGCTAGCTTTACACAATTTCTTCCATTGGGAGGTGCCTCACAGCATCGGGTTTGGACATTCGGGGGGGAGGAAGGAGATGAGAAAGCAGTTAGCAGTTTGCCCCATGCAGATATATTACTTACTCAGGCAATTGAAATGAATTCTCCTGCTATCAGATTGCAGAGCTGCCGTTCCGCTGCCCAGGCAGCTAAAAACAATTCTGTGAGTGCCAAAGATTAACTACCACAGACTTTGAGCCACGAGCGATGGCTCTCCCTTTCCTGCTGCAAATTGTTACACACCATCAGGGCTGCCGTCAAATCCGAGTTACTCAGAAACACCCCATTTCTCTGCCACTCTTTCAATTGCTTCTTGGTGGAAACAAGAGGTTACCCAGAAAGCGGATGCTACTTTCTCATCAGAAGAAATGCCTGCTGCAGGATGTGTTTTTGATAAGGATGTTTTATTCGAGGCTGGAGAAACTGCAGGCGAGTTATGCTTGGTAACCCAGTTCGGGTTTTGCTTGGCTGAGTACAGAGGAGTGTATGCAGTGTGCGTGGAGCAGGAGGTATTTTGGAACAGTTAAAGCTGTTCCCTTATTATGCCTTACAATGGCATTTTTGTTCCTTTAAACTGAAGGCCTTGCAAGTATCTGCTTTCTGGTGGTTTCCTGGCAAGCTGAGTGTCTTTCCTGACAAATATTAGAGTGTCCATTCTGAACCTGATTGCACCGTTAATTTGCGAGACTTTTATTCTGGGGCCCATCACAGCCCTGCCTCTGACTCACAAAGATATCGTGTTTACAGGAAAGCAGAACAATTTCCAGGTTGTGACGTTTCTGTGAAACAAGTTCTGTGGAAAACTGCCATGTAATTTGGAATAAATCCGCAGGGACAGAAGTGATGGGCAAATGATGTGATCCAGCTACAGTCTTCATTCCATACAGCACCACACACTTGCTCTATATCAGACGATGCAATGTTCTCTGATCATCACACACTCATCCAACATATCCTTTGCTTTTGTCATGGCGACCTGCCCTCCAGTCCAGTTTCTAGAAAGGATGATCATCTTTGTGTTGACGATGGCCGTGTGTGCACAGTTTGTCACTTTCACAAGTGTGCTCACAGAAAAGAGGTCAGCTAAACACAGTGGAGGAGATCTCTTGTGAAAAATACCATAGGAGGATGTCAAGGCAGAATATAAGCTGCTCTTTGGCATTTCATCTAAGTGAACTTTGTTGTAGCTCGTCTTGTTTCAATATAAGGATGGGAATATCCAAAGAACAAAGGATAAATGGCAACTTTGCAGCTTGTGCTTCTAAATCTAAAGACTGGTGTTTACATATCAAGCCATAAACTCTGAATTATTTTCTATAGACTGGGAGAAAAAAAAACAGTATAAACTGTGTAAACATCCCAAATTTCTTTGTGGTCACAAATTACATGTTCATGAAAATCCACAAGCATCCTGGAATCACACCTGAAAAGCGCTGAGTGTTTTCAGCTCCTGCTGAAGTCACACAGAACTCCAAAGCTGTGTGGTGAATGTTGTACTGGGCTGATTAGGAAACAAGAGTTATAAACCATATCCAGCCTTCAGAACTCAGATCCAAATTATGCATTTGCTGGGAGCCAGCAGGGAATAGAATAGATCCAATGTTTGTGCGCACAGCCGCTGAACAACGTGCTGTTTTAGGAGTCCTTAAATAATCATTGATTTCAAAGGTGTTACAGCCCATTGACTCAAAAATCAGCTGCTTATGAGGAGTCTCGCGTTCCTATCTGAGATCCCTGGCAGTTGTACAAGAGCTGTGCTGAACACACATTCCAAATGCAAGCTGCGTTTTGGACTTTATTAAAAGATCCTGTGGTCATCCTAATTTCCCTAAGCACTTTCGTTGTAAATGCATGGAATTCTGAACCAGCTCGTTCCAAGTCAGCAAATCCCCCAAATAGCTCTTGGTTTTGTAAAATAAGTGAACGATGGGGCCATTTTCTGCTTCAGCATGAGCTTCTATGTCAAGACCTCTGTGTGGTTTGCACTTATTCATAGATCTGTCTTACCTGAGAGAAGATCAGTGGTTCAGGAATCCCAAGAAGCAGAAGTGATGTGCACTCTGCAGGGGGCTCCTTCTGCCTCTTTTGGCTGGAGCAGTGAAAGGACATCTCCTCTTCAGAAATTGAGACAGCTCAGGCATTCGTATCCCTCCTGTGGCTTGCAGACTGTTCTGCCTGTTCTGCAAAAGAAAACAGGGGAAAGAAGATTTCTGGGCTTCTTTCCACATAACGTCTCTGCACATTCCAGGACAGAAGTGTTATCCTAAATAATGAAGTTTCTTCTTTCTGCTATATTGCTAAAAGTCCTCAGATCAGTTCTGTAAAGGCGTTAGCATCAGAGGCCAAAAAATGACTGCTCAGGGCTGAGTTCTTTCCTTCAGAGTCAAATTCCAAACATTCCTTCTTTGGGTCAGAGGTACATGTTTATGTAGCGTGCACTGATTTTTCTTTTACATGGTTGAAAAACTAAAGATCTATTAGAAAGGCAAGCATTACACTGAAAATGTTTGTAATATACTTCAGTCAAACATAAGCAGTACATATCAGAAATTCATTGTTAACAAACTTGATTAATGCAATGTTACGTGCCAGGACAACCTCAGTACCAGGAAGAGTTTATTTAAAGGCAAACAAACAAAAAATCCACAAGTTTTTATTAGTATCCCATTATTAGTCACAGTAAACTAGATCCTCTCTCAGGAATCCCTGCACATAAGCAGTATGTCATACCATTTCCCTGCCCACATGGTCCCTTGGCAGTGGATCTATAATGATCCAACTGCTCTGAGGTATACAATACAGTGCTAATGATGTTTGGAGTGAGGGCATCGCTTGGTTGGTGGAGAGCAGGACTAAATCCACTGCTGGGCAAACCCTTCAATGCATGGATGCATACTCAGCTTCATCAACAGTGCAGCCATTGTGGAGCAGTTACAACACAGTTTTCTGCACAACAAGAGATGTTTTTTTACATTAAGCCAAGGATACTCCACCAGTTCAGCCTTACACCCCAGAATGGTGGCTTGAAACTGCTTCCTCATATAGAGATAGAACAAAGCTGGTTAGGAACCAAGGATGATTTCTTCACCTAATCTAAGGAGATATTTGGCTAGTCATTAGGGACCCACAAAAAAAGAACAATGCAAGAGGACGGTATGATTGGCTCTGACAACATGACAGAACAGCTTGTTCAAGGCAGCAGGTAAGACAGACAATTGTATTACAAATGACAGAAAGTGGAACACTTTCAACATGGCATATGCATGAAATGCAATATCTGTAAACACTGCTGGTATCTACAGAGCAATAGAATTGTCGAAATAATAATCCTAATGTATTAAGCAAGCACTAACTGTTTCTCTTCACCATCCTGATAAGTGTTCTTACTGTGTGTTGTCATCCACAGAGCATGAGATCTCAGTTACTTGTGTAATGCTGTCACAAAAAATTACTTTTAATGTATTTTCACCTTCCTCTAGATCACTCTTGTCTCAGATATTTCAGCCAGGAAAATTACATACAGTACACATCATGCTGCCACGAGGAGTTCATTATGTATTTTTGTGCCCGAGAGCTGCAATGGAATGAAGAATGGAGAATGTGGTAAAAGACATTAGGGTAAATATGCAGATGATACTTCTGTTTTTATTTTATTTTATTTTATTTTTCGAGGGGGAGAGGGGGCTGTTATTGGCAGCAATGGTTTGTATGAATGAGAGGATTAGACACTGTCTCTCGAGTTAGAGATTTTGATTTTATTCCATTCTACTGACTATGCTTGTAAAGCACTGAAGCTGATCAGAGATTGCAGAACACCGATCAGAATTTCCAGATGTCCTTGATAACGCCCTTCACCTTCCTAATAAGCTCTGAAATTATAATATATCGATTGGAATGCCTTGCAGCAGCATGACACACAGAGCATTATTGACAAGCAGCCCTGAATTTTCAGGTGACAAACAAGGGCAAGGGAGGCTCGCAAAAACAAGAATGTGAAGCTGCCATGATGATCTTCACCAGGAAAACTTGGGAAATTCTTAGGAAAACATTTTTACTTTTGTCCGGGAAGATTTCAACACTGATTTGCGGAGAATGAATGTAGTTATAATGGTGATACAGTTGCAAGTGATGATAACAGCGATAGCAATAACACGAGAAATAGCAGTAGGTACGCTCTGCCCGCTCGCTCTCCTAGGAGCGGTGCCTTCAGCACCACGGACAGCGCCGGGCGCACTACTGCCGCACTCGGGGCCGGCGCCCCATCGCGCACGACGGGAGATGGGAGCAGAATGAGGGCCAGGGCTGACACCAAATCGCTGTGGTCCTGGGGGTAGAACGGAGAATTCGAGACTTACTGCCAGTGTAAAAGTGTTCTGCGCAGTGTTCTGCGCAAGAAAATTGTTAATTGCATATAGAATCTGACATTGCAAGCTAAGAACAAGACCCTTCGTCTGCTATCACCCGAGCCTTCACAGGCAAATTCAAGAGAATTACGTCTTGGTTTATTTTAATATCAAAGCATTGTATAAGAAGACAAGGAAATAGTTTCCCTTTCCAATAGTGCTGGCGCACTGCCCTGTTTATTCTCCGGCTGGTATTTTTGTTCCTCTTAGAGATATATCAAAGTTTATGTAGTAAGTGTGACTTGGAGGAGATGGAAAAGACACTGACAATATTAATTGTTTCATAAATACAGTCAGATGGGATATGTTTTTTATAACCTTGGTTTAAACCTTGCTATTGAAAAACCAATACCCTGCCATTTGTTTATACTTTTCTTGGCATACAAGGCAGATATATTAGAGTGAATGAAGCTAATAAAAGGCTACAGGCAGCATTTTCCACACTCAACTTTTAGGCATGGCCTCTTTTTCAAAAGAAAACTGTCTTTTAGTTTGGAACATTATAACCATTTGGTCTCTCTGTTAAAAAAAAAAAAAAAAAGGATGAATAAAACCAGAAATTACAAAGGGCCAAAGAAAATGGACCCTCTGCTTTTAGGTGAGCACTTCTTCACACAAGCAATCCCACTGCCATCATAGATCTGCTTACATGAGCAGCTGCCAATACAGAGGGATGAAGGATCCTATCAGACAACCTGGATGTGTGAGGTAGCTCCCACAGAGGCTAAAGATCAGCAAGAAAAACACTCCTTTCCTAAAGAAATCTTATTTGAATCAAAGCAGTTAGCTGCAAAGCAATGGGTCTTGAATGTGGAAAGAAGAGCCCCAAACTCTCCCAAAGGCAGTGCATGACTCATTGTTTTAGACAAGGAAAATGCTCTGTGAATAAATTACTGGAGATCTTTCAAATGTTTTTCACCCAAGCAATGGTAAAGTCTTAGAAATCTATTTGCACTGCAAGCAATTTACTTCTTACAGACTTTTTATTTCATTTGTACCACATTTTAGTCTCCAAACAAAGAAACAAGCAGGTGGGTTTAACTTTGCTTTCATTTCTTAAAATATTTTTATCACATTCTTTCCAATGTCGCATGCAAAATAAATACAGTTCTTACACATATTGTAAACATGAGCTTTCATGATCTTGTGTTCTGTTAAATTAATATGATAGTGCTAAGAAGACATATAGCACAGCAGAAACTGAAGACTAGAAAATAGAAACTGCAGTGAAGGAGGAAGGAATTGGCATGTC